CAACACTATCCAGAAGATGACCACGACATTGCACATGATGTGTTATGGTCTTTTTGCAGATTTGATTGATGATCACCTGGCAATGTGGGAGAGCACTTGTATAGTTGTATCAACTGTTTGAGGTAAATCACGAAGGTGGTGGTTGAAGTCTTTGGCTCATAGTGTTCGAGAGCACCAAATGCTCAAGATAACTAGGGGCTTTTGGTGACTAAAAAAGCAAGGGAGTATCCAGGGTTGCCCGACTCGATTGATTAACTGCATTGGAAGTGGAAGGACTACCCCGCGGTATGGCATGGACAGTTCATTGGCCATGTGAAAGACCCAACCATCATTCCTGAGCCGTTGCAAATTACGAGACTAGGTTTTGTCATGCCTACTTTGTAATGCCTGGAATCTTAAAATGACATCAATATGCTCCACTAAACACCACTATCTGCATGGTTAGCCAATTGGGGGCGACCGCTGGAGTTCAAAGCAAATAGCCTCGCGTACATCATGAGACTACCTAGCGGATGATATATACACAAAGTGGGTGACTTTTGTGAAGCCGATTCCCATCCCCCAAGGTAAGAAACAACTTAATTTCCATAATGCTCAAGTAGCTAGTAGGAAGGATGTGGAGAGGGCATTTGAGATTTTGCAAATTGAGTTTGCTATTGTGCGAGGACCGGCTTGATTTTGGGATCAACGTACGCTTTAGATGATCATGGCTACTCGTGGGATTTTGCACAATATGCAAAATTTGGACTACTGCTACTATGTCTTCGTGTGAAGGGTAGTGAATCCGCGTAGGGGAGATGTCGGTATTTGCTACTTTTTTCAAGTTCACCATGAAATTCAAGATAGAGATATTCATGACAGTCTTCAACAAAATCTCATCGAGGAGTGGTGGAAGTGGAATGGGCTACAAGCCCGCTACTTCTACCTCCATGTTTCGTGTTATGTTTAATGCACTATGTTTTATGTTTGATAAACAAGTGTGTTGAATTCAGGTTGTGGATTGATGAATTATCTAATAATCAAGTGTTGTTTATGTTTTATTTGCGTTGGACTCATTTGACATGCGTTCAATATTATTTGAAGCATTGCATATCTATAATTATAAATAAAAGTTGAAATATGGGTATGTAGTAGATATGGATATGCTGTAAATGCATAAATGTTTTCCCTACCCAAATCTTCTCTCCCCGGCCCATGATGAATTTTGGCAGCTAAATTTTGAATCTGCTGTTATTTTTAAAGCACGTGTAGGTGGGAAAAAAAGACTCTGGGGCCGATCGAGGCGACAAAGGTCCTTGGGTGCCACGGTGGCATTCCCTCCGGTTCCATGGGCTGCCGGGAACACGCTGCAGACTTTGCAGTCAGCACAAGCGCAGGTACGCACGTACGTCCGACAATTATTTGCTGAAGATATTCGGGTGGAAGGACATCAACGTGCGTAGGTACAATATAAAAATCGAAGTTTTTACTGAATGCCCCCTTTTCTCCAAAAAATAAAATAATAAAAAAGTTTTTACTGAATGAATGGCCTGATGAAGTGATGATTGAGTAAAACTACAAGCTCTTTTCCCTGCCAAAAAAAAACACAGAATGGGCAGTGCTAAAATAATGAAAGTCTTACGGGAGAGGATAAGATAGAGTAAACGAATATCGCAGACAGCATGATGGCGTGGCGTACCCATGGTTTTGCCCAAGCACACATGCATGCCGTCGCCATGCACTAGCTCACGCCATGCACTCGCCCACACGCCACACAGCTCGCCCGCCCCGAGTAAAATCCTACAGGTACGTACGTATCCGTATCCGTATGGCCACACGATGAACCGGTAGGCGGTACGTACAGTACGTGCGGTGCATGGCACGGGCATCCCGCCATGCCGCCGACAGACGGAACGGAAGGTTCACGACGCCGCGCGCGAAAGCGCATGCGATTTTTGCCGTGGTTCGCTCCATATTTCCCGCCGGCGGGCGCCTGCCTTTCATTCGAACGAAACCAAACCAGACATGGCGCCGGCGCATCGGAACTTCAACAGCACTACTTCTACTCGCAGCGGCCGGCCGGGCGAAAGCGAAAGCCAAAAGCTTCGGCTCGCTGCAACGAGATTAAAGAAAAGCTGCAGCCGATCGATCGATCGGGTCCGTTCGCCGCTCACCGACCGGCGGCGTCAGCCAGCGGCGGGGCCGGGAGAGGACCAGGGGAGAGAGAAGAATGGAGATGGCACAACGTGCGATGGAAGCAAAGTGGGAGGAAGCGGACAGCCGTGCTCCATGCCCACCAACATGCCACAGCCGTGCCGCGCTTTTGGTCTCCTCGTCCAATCACCCATCCTTGAGGCCAACTCCAACCCGCGACCCTATCTTGTCCGTTCCGGTCCGTTTGGGGTAAAAGGGACAAAGGAGGCGGCCCAACGCACGACGGCCCGGACCCATCCTGTCCGTTTTGTGTCCGGGCCGACCCATTTCAAGGGCAAACTTGCGCCGGGTTTGGATCGCGGCGGACACCAAGCGGACGCGTCCTCGTCCGCGTCGGGGCCGCGTGGCAGGCGGCCACCTACCTTCCTCCCGCCCACATCAATGCGCACGGGCGGGCGGCCCCACCTATCATCCACACATGGAAGGGTCGCCGTCCTTCTTTAAGTGGGAAGCGTGGACCGGTCGTCGTCCACACTGCCCCACGCCACCCCGCGGCCTCCTCGAAACCCGACAGCCCCATGCCCCAAACCCTAGCCAAGAACTCGCCGGACGGCCGCCCCGCAGCCATGTGGCTCTGGAACTACGGCCGCAAAGGCAAGCACGACCGCGAGGCTGGCTCCTCGTCGGGGCGTCGCCGCGGCTCGGTGAAGGAGGAGCCGGCCTCGCCATCGCCACCACACCGGGCCCCCCTCGCCGCCCGCGTTCTCCATCGCCCCCGCGTCCGCCGGCGAGCGCGACCGGCACTACATCCGCGCTGAGGTGTGCCGCCGTTATTGGGAGACGAGGACGCCGATCCCCTGGAGCGACGCCCACCTCCCAACAACAGGCATTTGTCGGCCGACCGCGTGCCGATCCCGCCGGTCCTGGTGACCGGCCGTGCGCGCCGCCAGGAGATCGAGCGCCGCCGCCGCCTCCTCCCGGACGACCTCTACTACGACCCCAGGTACGCCCCCGACTCGCCATTGTGGGACACCTGGTTCCGCGATGAGCACGACGCGCGGCGGGCGTCCTATTTCGCCGGCACGTCGACGGGGCCACGGCGGCCTGCTCCCCAGGAGCGCGGGCGTAGGGTGGTGCGCGACCTCACGCCCACGCCGTCGCCGTCTCCATCGCCACCACCACCTCCTCGTATGACGGCGGAGGAGGAAGCCCGTCTCGTGCAGCGTGTCATGGAGGACTCCATGCGCACGCACGACGAGCGGCAATGGGACGGCTTGGAGGAGGCCATGGCATTGTCTGCCGCCGGCGACGTGGCCTTCCCGGAGCTGCGGATGGCGGCCTTGACGGAGGAGAGGAGGGAGGACGCCATGGAGGAGGAGCCGGCGGCCGCCCTCCAGCAGCTGGTGGGCACGGGGTGGGCCTGGTCCTGCACTGCTCCGGAGATGGCCGCCGGCCTGGGCGTGGACTGGCGCGCAACTCCGCCGCAGTCACCGGAGCGGGAGGGGTCGCCACGGGAGGAGGTGTTGCAGGCACCTCCCGTTGTCCAGCCCGCCCCCGTCTACCAGGCACCGCACGCACCGCCGGCCCACCTGTGGACGCCGCCGGCCTATGTCGACCTCGTCAGCGACGACGACGACACCGACGGCCAGTGAAGAGCGACACGGCGACGGCAACGACGGGCACGGGCAGGAGCGCGCCGGCGGCGACCGTTTTTTTCTTTTTTATGTTTAATTATTAATGTGACGAAACTGGGCCGTTTTGTGGCCATGGACCCCCCTAAGTTTTATCTTTTATTAAACTGCGTTTATTTACTTTTTTAGTCATTTTTTATGTTTTTTATTGTTTTTCTGACACCGACGTGATTTGGGGTGCGGCCGCCCGGTGGGCGCACGCACGACCCAATGGACACAACCAGACACAGGCGTATCCATCAATGCCCCAAAGGGACAAAATCCGGCCAATCCGGACGTTCGTTTGGGGTCGTGCGGTGGAGTTGGATATCGTCGTATCTCCCCGCCGTAACGTACGCGCGCCGCGCCATGCCATCCCGGCCGTCCGTCCGCTCTGCTCTGCTCCTGTCCCGGAAGACAGAATCATGGCTGGCAATCAATGCTAGTAGATCCAACATTTACCGCCATCATTTACAGCAGTGCTTCAATGTTATTTCCTGCAAGCAGGTCCGCAATTGGTCTTTTTCTAGATTGGGATCGCGGGAATCATGCGCCCGGATTTTGTACTACTTGAATGCAGCAAATAATCCGAAATCCCTGACAATCAGGACAAACCAGCAAATCATTAAGCATTGTACTACATACTGGTGAAATATCTTTTTTACCCGCCAAAGCCGTGGCCGGCGCTGCCAAGCAGAGTACTGCTGCGAAGTCCAAACAGTGCCAGGTATAGCAGGGAGGGAGGGAGGAAGAAGAAAGAAAAAGGGCGAGGTCCCAACTGTCCACGGCGCTTTCCATCAGAGCACGGCGGCCACGAGACGAAGCGGCAGCACGGTGACAGTGGCCGGCCAGGCCTGCGCCATCAATGGCTAAAACGAGCGATAATCACGCGCTCCGTAACGGAAGCGCCCGTCCAATTTCCGGTTCGCTGCGCTGGAGTGTGCGCGTACATCTTCTTTTCTTCGCCCGGCCCGGCCCGGCCTAGCCGCCGCGGATTGGATTAGCCCCGCTCGCCTCGGCGCCATTATTTGGTCTCCCTCGTGCCTCCTCCATAAATACACCGCCCCGCTCGCTCCCACTCCTCAACTTCAACCCCCCACGCCACTCGCCAACGCCTCCGCCGTCCACTCGCCTTCTCGCCGCCACTTGCTCTGCTCACCGCGAGCGCGTGCGTGCGTGCGCGCCCCCGGAGCGACGATGGCCGCCGCACTGCCACCGTCGCCGCCCGCCGCCCTCGCGGCGCTGCTGCTCCTGGTGATGCTTTCGCCGGCCGCGGCGCGCGTCCCTGGCGTGTACACCGGCGGCGACTGGCAGAGCGCGCACGCCACCTTCTACGGCGGCAGCGACGCCTCCGGCACCATGGGTACGTTTTCCCTCCGCCAGCAGTGCGATTCCACCATGATGTCCAAGTCGAACTGATCTGATCTCGTGTTCTTGATTTGGCGTCGCAGGCGGCGCGTGCGGGTACGGGAACCTGTACAGCCAAGGGTACGGGGTGAACAACGCGGCGCTGAGCACGGCGCTGTTCAACGAGGGGCAGAGGTGCGGCGCCTGCTTCGAGATCCGGTGCGAGAACCAGCCTGGGTGGGCGTGGTGCCTCCCGGGGAGGCCGTCCATCGTCGTCACCGCCACCAACTTCTGCCCGCCCAACTACGCGCTCCCCTCCGACGACGGCGGCTGGTGCAACCCGCCCCGCCCCCACTTCGACCTCGCCATGCCCATGTTCCTCCACATGGCGCAGTACCGCGCCGGCATCGTCCCCGTCTCCTACCGCCGGTAACCCCTCCCTCCCAAATCTACCGCCAACTTTCCATTTTTTATCCCGTCGCTTGCCTAGAAATTTTTACCGAAGTCAATGGGATGCTGTTTCTGGGTCATACTCCTAGTATAGTAGTAAAAAACATTCGCCTTGGTTGAATTTATCTTTTCTTTTCTTTTGCGGCCAATGGGGAGAGCGCAGGCCCTGCGCCGCGCCCCTCTTTACCCGGCACAGCGATTCCTTTTCCTTCGCGTCTTTTGAGACGTTCGTCCGTCCGTCCACAGGAAAAAGGAAAAGAAAATCTGCCTTCCGTCCCGTCAGATGTAATTAATTCCCCTTATCCTCACCGTCAATTGCACAGTAGCATGCGAAAAATAAAGAACACTACGGACAAAATCTCTGAACTTGAACATTGTGGGCAAGTATTATCCTGTACTGTTGAAATTGATACGGTAACATGGGCTGCTATTTTCCTCCAAAAACTGAAGATATGATACGGCAGATATGCTGGCACGTAGCACCAGGATAGAACAGAACAGAAGAGGCACGGCACGGCGATAAATCCCCATTAAATCTCGCTCCTTCCAGTAGAAGTAGTAGCGTTTCTTTTCTGATCTATGTGTACGGCCGGGAGGGAGGGATAGCGTGAACGTGGGCCGGGAACTTGCACCGCCGGGACCGGGCGCACGCGGGGCGTTAAAAGCGGAACGTGACACGATCGGTCGCACTCGGCCCGCCATTACTTCCTTGTGTCGTGGTACGAGTAAAAGCGGCCTTGGAGCGAAGCCGGAAACGGCGGCCCGCGCTGGTTCCCCCGGGCCGGCGCCATGTGCTTCGACGTCTCTTTCGTCTCCGTGTCAAAGTGGGCGTCAATGCTGATCAGGAGTACACTGTTTTTGTCACGTTTGGCTTTAATGCTTAGGCGTAGTTGGTGTCTGGTGATCTCGACGCTGTTTCTGTCATGTGCTCCGGCACTCTGGTTCGCACCACGCGTGAACCAGCTCACCCCTCGCCTCTGCGACGCTGCACCGTCCCGTCTGCCCACTCCCATGCCCTGGCATCGCCTGCGTCCACCACAACCAGATTACTTGCGGCTGATGATTTGCTTACGTGCCATGTAGTATCCGTGTATGATGTGCTGATGGTTTGGCTAACGTGTGATGTTGTTGTTCGACGTGTGTGTTGCAGGGTGGCGTGCCGGAAGTCTGGCGGGGTGCGGTTCACGATCAACGGGTTCAGGTACTTCAACCTGGTGCTGATCACGAACGTGGCGGGGGCGGGGGACCTGGTGCGGGCCAGCGTGAAGGGGTCCAGCACCGGGTGGATGCCCATGTCCCGCAACTGGGGCCAGAACTGGCAGTCCAACGCCATCCTCGTCGGCCAGGCCCTCTCCTTCCGCGTCACCGCCAGCGACCGCCGCACCTCCACCTCCTGGAACGCCGCGCCGCAGAGCTGGCGCTTCGGACAGACCTTCGAGGGCAAGAACTTCAGGGTCTGATCCCACCGTGACCTTCCCTTCCTCTTCTCCGGCGACGGTCGGCGGCATGGGCGGGAGGTTCATCGTCTTATATATAAACGAGTACTACTACTACATACTAGTGGGTGAGTAATTACTACAGTGAGCGAGTGAGCGGTCTGTGTTGGTGTGTTTTTCCCGTCCTTGGTGCGTGGCCTGTGAATGCATATGCAAGGTGCAAGCAGGTTGATACCAGTAGTAGCAGTAAAAGTCTAGTCTTGATTAGGGTAAAGAGGTGATGGTTGCTGGGTACTGAAGTGTGGAGTGGTGGCTGAAGTGGCTGCAAAGCTGCAGCTGAAGATGGGAGCGGCGAGTGTAGCCCGCAGCTGCTGCTTCTCCGGTGTCGTCCCGTCCCGTGTCGTGTCATCTTTGTCTCCATGGCACGCTGCTGGCTGTTACTAGTACTATTTATCAATCGATCAATCATGGACCTGATTTATATGTCTATCTATCAGCTTGATGATTCCCTAATGCTGCGTATGTGCACTGGCCCCTCTCTCTCTCTCTCTGCTATGTGCTTGTGTATGTTGGGTTAAGGAAATCCGTAGCGCCGTGGGCATCAGCCCTGCCGGCCCCTGCTGTTGGAGAGCGCAGACGCTGAGTGTGATGGCTGAAAACGCGTGGAAAGCATGGATGCAGAGCAGAGAAGCGAAAGCGCGAGGGCTTGCTTTTGCTCGGACGCGCGCGAGAATGGCGCCAAGGACGAGCCACCGACCATGCATCATACCGTTTTCACCATACGCATCATGGTTCTGCAGCGTCCTTGTGCTGCCCCTTGCCGTTACCTGTCTGACCTCATCTCGTCGCCGTCCACATCCGCGGGGAAAGGCAGAAGCGAGTTTGCAGATCGTCCACATCGGGTCCGAGTCAAACAAACAAACAGGGACAGCGTTGCTCTCACCGGTGATATCGGCTGACGCCCGGCAGGATCGCGTGTGCCCCCTTCGTGTCAAAAGTCAAAATGCACGGCAAAAGCCAGTAGGGGACGACGCCCACTCTGAGGCCAACTCCACCGCACGACCCTAAACGGACGTTTGGATTGGCCGGATTTTGTCCGTTTGGGACGCCGATGGGTACGCCCGTGTCCGGCTGTGTCCATTGGGTCGTGCGTGCGCCCACCGCGCGGCCGCACCCCAAATCACGTCCGTGTCAAGAAAACATAAAAAGATGACTAAAAAGTACAAAAACGCATTTTAATAAAAGATAAAACTTAGTTAGGGGGGTCCATGGCCACAAAACGGCCCAGTTTCGTCACATTAATAATTAAACATAAAAAAGAAAAAAAACGGTCTCCGCCGGCGCGCTCCTGCTCGTGCCCGTCGTTGCCGTCGCCGTGGCGCTCTTCACTGGCCGCCGGTGTCGTCGTCGTCCCTGACGAGGTCGACGTAGGCCGGCGGCGTCCACAGGTGGGCCGGCGGTGCGTGCGGTGCCTGGTAGACGGGGGCGGGCTGGACGGCGGGAGGTGCCTGCAACACCTCCTCCCGTGGCGACCCCTCCCACTCCGGTGACTGCGGCGGAGTGGCGCGCCAGTCCACGCCCAGGCAGTCGGCCATCTCCGGAGCAGTGCAGGACCAGGCCCACCCCGTGCCCACCAGCTGCTGGAAGGCGGCCGCCGGCTCCTCCTCCATGGCGTCCTCCCTCCTCTCCTCCGTCAAGGCCGCCATCTGCAGCTCCGGGAAGGCCACGTCGCCGGCGGCAGACAGTGCCATGGCCTCCTCCAAGCCGTCCCATTGCCGCTCGTCGTGCGTGCGCATGGAGTCCTCCATGACACGCTGCACGAGACGGGCTTCCTCCTCCGCCGTCATGCGAGGAGGTGGTGGTGGCGATGGAGACGGCGACGGCGTGGGCGTGAGGCCGCGCACCACCCTACGCCCGCGCTCCTGGGGAGCAGCCGCTGGGCGCTCTGGGCGTGGCCGCCGTGGCCCCGTCGACGTGCTCATCGCGGAACCAGGTGTCCCACAAATGGCGAGTCGGGGGCGTACCTGGGTCGTAGTAGAGGTCGTCCGGGAGGAGGCGGCGGCGGCGCTCGATCTCCTGGCGGCGCGCACGGCCGGTCACCGGGATCGGCGGGATCGGCGCGCGGTCGGCCGACAAATGCCAGTTGTTGGGGAGGTGGGCGTCGCTCCAGGGGATCGGCGTCCTCGTCTCCCAATAACGGTGGCACACCTCAGCGCGGATGTAGTGCCGGTCGCGCTCGCCGGCGGACGCGGGGGCGATGGAGAACGCGGGCGGCGAGGGGGCCCGGCGTGGTGGCGATGGCGAGGCTGGCTCCTCCTTCTTCACCGAGCCGCGGCGACGCCCCGACGAGGAGCCAGCCTCGCGGTCGTGCTTGCCTTTGCGGCCGTAGTTCCAGAGCCCCATGGCTGCGGGGCGGCCGGCCGGCGAGTTCTTGGCTAGGGTTTGGGGCCTGGGGCTATCGGGTTTCGAGGAGGCCGCGGGGTGGCGTGGGGCAGTGTGGACGACGACCGGTCCACACTTCCCACTTAAAGAAGGACGGCGACCCTTCCATGTGTGGATGACAGGTCGGGCCGTCCGCCCGTGCGCATTGATGTGGGCGGGAGGAAGGTAGGTGGCCGCCTGCCACGCGGCCCCGACGCGGACGAGGGCGCGTCCGTTTAATGTCCGCCGCGACCCAAACCCGGCGCAAGTTTGCGCTCGAAATGGGTCGGCCCGGACACAAAACGGACAGGATGGGTCCGGGCCGTCGCGCGCTGGGCCTCCTCCTTTGTCCTTTTTACCCCAAACGGACCGGGGCGGACAGGATAGGGTCGCGCGGTGGAGTTGGCCTGACATGTGGGGCATGCCCGGACACAGCGGACGAAGAGGACGCGGAGGCGTCCGTTTTCTGTCTGCTTTTGCCTCAAATCCAGACCAACTTTGGGCCAGATGGGGTGAAACGGACACGAAACGGACGAAAAGGTAAAATGGGGTCTGCCGCTGGATCGCTGCATGTGTCTACTTTTATCCAAACCGCGTCCGGCGGACAAGATAGGGTAGCGCGGTGGAGATGGCCTGACAGGCCATTGATAGTTGGATACAGTGAAGATCACACAGGCACGGCAGGGAGTATGCAGCATGAGCTCCACTGCCAAGAACTCAACGGCACACAAATACATCCAGGTTGCCATGCACAGGGCATTTTCAGACTACCACCCTAGCTAGATAACAGGTTCAGACTCTTGGTTGCTATGACTAGCGGCCTTGTTTCCAAGGTCTCCTGAGCTTTTAGGGCGACGTACGCGTGCCGTGCCAGCATCCGCGCTTGGCGCTGTCATTCTGCCGGCGGACTTGGGCTCTTGATGCTTCTTTGCTGCTGCTTTCTTGCGTCGGTCACTGGAGTCTTGAACCCCTTCTAGAATGGAGACTACGTAATCCATGGTCGGCCTCATATTACCTTCAACGTGCAAGCACGCGACAGCAAGGTTGGCGATTTTCCGCGCCCCATTGATCGAGTATCGGCCTCCTAGCTTTTTATCAATGACACGAAAGATCCCGCGCTTACTTGTGAGATTCGGTCGGGCCCATCCAACAAGATTGAGCTCCGCCGGGGCACGGTTCGTGTCAAGTGCGCGACGACCACACAACATCTCTAGAAGCACAACCCCGAAGCCATATACGTCGCACTTTGCAGTAAGATGGCCTGAATATGGGTAAATTAGTCGAATGGATGTTAATCACATGCTGAATATGAGCTCCTGGTAATATAAAAAGCAGGTATATCCGTATATGTTCTTTGCCAAGAACGCAGCATTGCAACATTTGTTCAGTTAAAGTACATTCAGCCGAATTCAAAATGTAAGAAGGTGAGCTGAAACTACTGACCGGTTAAATGAATGTTTACCACACGCTGAATGTGAGCTCTAGGTAAATTTTACAAAATGTCAATGTATATACTTCTTTACCAAAGGGCAGCAGCTTGCAACACTTGAAAGCACATTAAATTAAGTGTACTTCAAAAAACATGTCATTTGATGGAACAAATTATGGTTCAAGGTAAAAAACTCATAAAACATTTCCCAATATAGTTTGCATATTCACACCATTGTACATAGTTCACAAAGAAAAGGTATGAATAAATCATAAATTTCATGATGGCACTGGGGCATTAGATATTCAGCATCAGATCCTGACAGGGAATGCATTTCAACTGCACGCGTAGCAACTTCAAGAAAGTAATGTTGTTGCAAAAATGGTATCTGCACAGCAGCAGATTGACAGAAGACGAGACAACTTGTACATTTTTAATTAATCTTATATTAGTTTATAGAGGGAGTACTGCCTTAGACCGACTGCTATTAACTAGTGCACTAAAAACTCACTAACACTCGATTGTTCCAGTCATATGCCAGATGTTTTATATCCAAGACAAGCAAATGCGCAGAATACTGGCTTAATAAAACACAAAATTGCAACTCAAAAGTTACCTGTTGACACATATTCTGGAGCTGCATAACCATATGTTCCCATTACCCTTGTGGTCACATGACTGTCTTCACCAACAGGACCATCCTTTGCCAATCCAAAATCAGAGAGTTTTGCAGTATAATCCTGGGCAGTACAATATGCATTCATTTAAGTAGAGAGATCAGATGGTCATAGAGGTTAACTATGCTATATTGACGATTCACTTTCACTTACGGTGTCAAGGAGAATATGAGATAGCTTAAAATCCCTATAGATAACGTTAACCTCCGCACTGTGAAGGTAGGCTAGCCCTTTTGCAGCTCCAAGTGCAACTTTCATCCTTATGTTCCACGAAAGAGGTTCAAAGCCTCCTACATCAAGGATTCATATATAACAAGTTATAACTAGAAACAGTTTTACAGCAATGACATATGCAAAATGAATAATTGCTCCTAGGAAAGACAACTAACGATTGTCCAAGTTTAGCTTACTCCTGAAAAGATGATTGTCCAAGCTCCCACGTGGCATCCACTCATACACTAGCACCCGATACTCATCCTCTATGCAGTACCCGATTA